CTCATCGAACTCAAAGTCATGTCTACATGGTCCAAAATAAGCTCCCTTAAAAATGTTACATTTTGGAGGAACTTCTTCCAACTGCTTTCTTTCCATGTTAACATATTATGAGAGAGATCAAGTGACTTTCTAATTTGGAAAGTTGGTGCGCTTTTGAGAAGGAATTTCCACCTATAAAAGAAGGAATTTTTTGACACATTTTTAGAACGTTTTAAACAAGGCTCCACCAACCCCTCAAACAAAGAGGGATGAAAGTTTTGAAAGTTGAAGAAAAAATTATTGAAGCAAGATTAAGTGATTTGAGATAGAAAGAATTGAAAAAAGAGTATTATTGGAAAAGATTGCAACCGAAAAGAGGCCACCTGTAGCGAGACATCATCACCTATGAAGGACGCGACCAAAGATGGGATGGCAAGTAACCCCAACCCATGAGCAACAATCTGTTCCATTTTCCCAAGTTCCTATCTTTGTATCAACATTACCACTATGAGAATAATTGAGAGAGGTTTTGAATTGGAGCAAGGCAATTTTATCGTGAGTATGACATAAGGAATGGGAGAATGAGAAGTGAAACAGCAACGTATGCCAACATACAACAACCAACCATCTCACCCATGACTTCATTTTAAGCTCTGTTTAAGTGCAAGTGTTCACTCAGATTTACTCAAAGAAAAATTGTGCATACGGGTAAGGAATGAAAGATGAAGATTTATAGCCAAATTAAAATAGCAGATGCAGTTCTTTGATTGCGGCCAAATTAATGTATGAATGTGACGCCTAAACAACACATATCCTATACAAGCATCACTCCTACTACCAAAAGTCATTGGAGATAAGTCCTAAATCTTCAATTATTACATCCATTTTCTATCCATCTATAACCCAATTAATATTGTCCCAACCAAAAAGAGACCTATAGGTTTGGTTTCCTTCTTAAAACTTATTCTACTTTGTATCTCATCCACAAAAAATGGAATTGACTTAGGAGTCAATGCCCCCAAAAATTGGATTTGGATTTAATATTCCAACTACCAACATTTATCTGCACATCTGTTTTTTTATTAAATACTTTCTTTTTTATTTGTTAACTGATTATTATCTGAAAACATAAACCCACATTGTGTTTCCCTCTTCGTATACATTAATACTAAAACAGTTCTAAAATTTTTCAATATAATGTATACAATTTTTTTTTTATATTTTTATGAAGTATTTTATATAGAACTGTCAAAACGGGCCACCCGGCCCGGTCCACCACAGATTGGTCACTTAGTGAGCCAACCCAACCCGACTCATTTATTAGCGAGTCAGAAAAATTTGAACCCGGTCCGACACACCACGGGTTGGTGGGTAAACGGGTTGGCTCACGGGCTCACTTAATTACAATTTTTTTTTAAATAAAAAAAATTACAAATTTTCTATAATTCAAATCTAAACAAATTTTACTCCCAAATTTCATTGTCAACATGAGTGTTTAATTAATTTTGAAAATAAGGAATTTAAATAATTTTTTCAAGCAAAAAAAAATAATAAATATTTTTTTATAAAATTAAAATTAAATTTTAATAAAATAAAATTAGGTAGGTGGATTGATGGGCCAACCCGGTCTACCACGGGTTCAACCCGCATGAGCCAAGTTTAAATGAGCCGGGTTGAAATCTGACCCGTGTAAAAAAAATACAATCTTTTCAAATTCAACTCGACTCAAATCTGTGGTGGGTAAAGTGGCCTGCAGGTTATTGACAGCTCTAATTTTATACTTGAATAATATGTACTATCCAACTATCCTTAATTTAGAATTTTATTATAGAAAAAATATTTTACTATACCCATGGTTAAATTTTATAAATAAATAAAATGAGTTTAGTTCGACCTTGCAAGAATTAGCTACAAAATGACTTCTTTAATCTTTTAAAAAATTCAGACATGTGGGCACGACTATAAATTAGTGAAATAGTTTTATTTTATGATAAAATGCATAAAAAAATATGGATGACAAAAATTGTAAAAGGATGATCATTTAACAGTAAAAGTTGTAATTAAGTAAACATTTTATTAAAGCTTACAATCTTTAATGTAAAGAAAATGTTATTCATTTTATCTTTTCAGATACATTTTCGATTTCTTTTTAGTATTTTTAATTTTTGAATATTATTTATTTATTTGTCCTCTTTTAACCATGTAAATGATAGCGTTTAAAAAAAATTAAATATATTGATTTGATTATAAATTATTTAAGAACTAAAAGTTTGTTACTAAATTTGTTGAAGAATAAACTTAATTATAAATACTATATATGAGCTGAACAATCAAAATTTTGCTATACAGTAATAAATATTTTTTTTTTCAATTAATTCTTTGCCATTCATTTTTTTTTCTCTTCTCTTTATTTTTTTTAGTATTGTTTGTGACATTTACTTTTCTTGATTATACAACTGAGTTTCACTTAACCAAAGGCCAATGACCCTCATGCCATTAATAGCTTCTATGAAAGATAAAGAAGCTTCAAGAATTTAGAGAAGGCAATTAATTATTTTTTCTTAGCATAATTATCCTTAATTATCTACTAAATTATTTATTAGAAGTGAAAAAGTAAAGTGAAATACACTACACTAATATATTATGAACGTAAAAATAACATATTTATAATATATTATAACAAATTACCATTAATTTTACCAAAATATTCCCATTGAAATTATTGACATGTGTCCTTTGTAAAAGGTTTTTCAATGGTTGTTTGTTTGGATGAAAATTTGACAGGAAAATTAATAAATAATTCCATACAAAAACCATTAATTACTTGTTTCTTCATTTGTTATGCTTTTAACAATATAAATAGTTATCAAATATTTTAGATAAGTTAAACTTTAAAAAATTATAATTTATTTTAAATTTAGAATGTCTAATCATTTCAATATTATGACTTGATTCAAATGATAGATTGGTTATTCTTTTCATAAACAAAATTTGAGATAGTATTGTATCATATTCTTAAAGAGAATGTGTCTGCAAATTCAAATTAGAAGATAGTACTCTATCAAGCTATTATACTAACGGTGAAAAAACACAACATGATTAGTATAGTTTCTAGATCAAATTCATCCAACAACCATTTTCCGAAGCCTTTGAAGCTTTCCTACAATACAAAACAATTCCAAAAATCATTCCACATCCATATCCTATAACCACTGCTTCCCATCCAAATCCAAATTTCTCTTTTAAAGAAGATGGAAATTTTTGTTCAATGAATTTTGAAAGTTTAATAATATTTTACTATTCAACTATCGTTATTTTATACATTTTATAATCCAAAACATATTTTACTATGCCCATTCTTATAAATCAATCTATTAAGTTTCTAATTAAGACATGCCAGAACTTTTCTTTTTAAATCAATAAAATGAGTTTAATATGACATAATTTTTCATGAATTAGCTACGTCTTTTATCTTTCTAAAAACATTTCTGATATCACGTCACTGCAGTAAAATTAATGAAATAAAAACTTTTGATGATAAAATGCATGGAAAACATGGATAATAAAAATTGTAAAATGATGATAATTTAACTGTCGAAAGTGTAATTAAGTAAATATTTTATTCTTCACTATAATCTTTACTTTAAAGAAAATGTTATTCTCTTTATTTTTCCAGATACATTTTCTATTTCCTTTTGTAGTATTTTTAAATTTTTTAATACTATTTAATAATTTGTCATTTCTTAACTGTATATATTGATTTCTTTAAATGATAGTGTTTCGTATGAATTGGTCCGAAAGTCGGTCGTCCTTCGTTGCTATGCTCTCTTTTGATCTTCAATCCTCATGCCATTGATAGCTTCTATAGAAGATGAAGAAGCTCCAAGAATTTGTAGAAGGCAATTAATTTTTGTGTGTCTTCTCATAAAAAACAATTATGTTATTTATGCAGAAAGTGAATATATATGCTTTCTTAGATCACAATGAATTTTTAATGAGATCTTTAACAGATTAGCCTTTTGTGTTAGTGGTTTCATTTATATCAAAATTAAAAGAAGAATTAGCGAAGGAGAGCACGGAAGGAACTTCAACTTTTAGAAACAAGTAGTGGGTTGAAATTAAAGGTAAGATAGATATAAGATTAAATGATACATTATAAGGAGGAGCAACAATTATTAATTTAACAAATAATGTAATATCAAGATTATGAGCGACAGTCGAAAACGATCTCCTTGTCATTACCTCCCGTTAGTAAAATTTGATGAACTAGTTGAAAATTTTAAACTATTAAGTTTTGATAATTCATATAATTCTTCAAATTAACTTGTTAAAGATGACTAGTACAATGCGATGATACGATTATGATTATTTTCAACATTAAACCATGATGACATATTTTGTAAAAAGGATTTGAATAAGTCTTTTTTACTTACAGCGTTAAAAATGCTGATGGTATAATTGTCACGCTAGCCAAAAGTGAATGAACACAATGTTATTATGTTATTACTTCATAATCTTATATTATTAAATGATTTATAACACTTATGTTATTATATTTTGTCCGGTATCCTTCATATGTATCATAGTCATATACATTACACATTGCAGATTTTTTAATCAAAAGGGGGACCACATTGTATTTTTTTTTTCAAAAGGGGGACTAAATTAAACATTCACCAACAAAATCATATTCTTCATTTTAACTCATTATAATAGATACTGATACATCATCCATTACATGAACCTACAAACATCAACCTAAACACCTGAACCTAAACATTTTTTCTTCACATTCACCTTAACATTACATGAACAAAACATACAACCACATTGCCCACACCTAACAACATCAACCTAAACAGAACCACAATATCAACATGTTTAGCGCAATAACAACACACACAACTCTAATGAACAATTTTATCCTTTTCTGCAATTCTTTCACTAAATTTTCCAGATAACATATCCTCCTCCTTTGCCTGACAATTGTACCATCTCATTTATTTTTTCACTTTTCACTACTTCACATATTTCACTTTCTTCTCATCTTTTTACGAAGACCACCTCTGACCATTTTCACAAGCCATTCAGGCTTTCCAATGAATAATACAAAAATTCCAAGACCAATTCCAACTATTATTCCACATCCATATCCTATAACAACTGCTTCCCATCCAAATTCAAATCTCTCTTCACGCCAGAAGTTTGGAGAAGATGGAGATTGTTGTTCAGTGTTACTGCAGTTCTTTGACAATGGGAACCCACATAGTCCTGAGTTTCCAATGTAGGAGTTATTTTCAAAAGTGTTGAACTGTTTTCCTTCAGGTATTTCTCCAACAAGATGATTATAGGAAAGATTCAGGACTTCAAGAAAGTTCAAATTGGTTAATTCTGTGGGTATCCTACCCATGAACATATTTGAGGAGAGATCCAGTGATTCCAAATTTGTCAAATTTCCAATGGATTGGGGAATAGAACCACTGAGTCTATTATGAGAAAAGTTGAGTCCTTTAAGAGCATGAAGCTCTCCAATTACATATGGAATCTCTCCTTCAAATTTGTTTCTAGATAAATCAATGGTTATAAAGTTTTTTGGAATTTTTTTGAATGCCATATTTATGGCTTTTGTTGTTATAGTTGCAAATTCAGTTATAGTTGCAGACTCAGTTACATATGCATTACTATTGGAAGGTTGCATGTATAGCTCGCCCACTTTGTAACGAATAACGTTCTTCATTGCTTGAAAATTTTGTATATAGGTTTTTGGTATTGAACCATTGAAGTAGTTGGATGAGATATCAAAAATAAGTAAACTTGAAAATTCATGTTTCATCTCTAAACTTGGAACGGGACCGTACAATTTGTTGGCACGCAATACCAATACTGTCAACATTGGTAGAGTTTGAATCCAATCAGGAAATTTGTCCTCAATTTGATTGTTGGCAAGATTCAAGATCTCCAATTGTGTGCAATTGGACAAAGATTTTGGCAAAATACCTTCTAATTGGTTGTCATTGAGATTTATAACGCCGAAATGAGCATTCATTGAGAAATTACTTGGTAATGTTCCATTTAGTTTGTTCCTCTGTAAATCCAAAATAGAAAGGGAAGGCAACTTTGCAAGGCATGGTGGAATGCTACCTACCAACTTATTGTGAGACAAGAGGAGAACATTAAGTAAACTTACATTACAAATGGATGAAGAGACGTCGCCAGTGAGTAAATTGAAACTAAGATCAAGAAAGTGGAGGTTGTAGTTCCTTGAGAATTTCTTGATTGGAGTTGTCAACAAGTTTTGGGATAGGTTCAAAAAATATAATGAATCCATTTCATGCAACCACTTGGGAACTGTTCCATTCAATTTGTTGTTGGATAGATCAAGTTGTGTCAACATTGGGACTTTTCCTGTCCATTTTGGAAATTCTGTCANAGATGGGATGGCAAGTAACCCCAACCCATGAGCAACAATCTGTTCCATTTTCCCAAGTTCCTATCTTTGTATCAACATTACCACTATGAGAATAATGGAGAGAGGTTTTGAATTGGAGCAAGGCAATTTTATCGTGTGGATGACATAAGGAATTGGAGAATGAGAAGTGAAACAGCAACGTATGGCAACATACAACAACCAACCATCTCACCCATGACTTCATTTTAAGCTCTGTTTAAGTGCAAGTGTTCACTCAGATTTACTCAGAAAAATTGTGCATACAAGATGAAGATTTATAGCCAAAATAAAATAGGAGATGCAGTTCTTTGATTGTGACGCCTAAACAACACATATCCTATACAAGCATCACTCCTACTACCAAAGTCATTGGAGATAAGTCCTAAATCTTCAATTATTACATCCATTTTCTATCCATCTATAACCCAATTAATATTGTCCCAACCAAAAAGAGTCCTATAGTTTTGGTTTCCTTCTTAAAACTTATTCTACTTTGTATCTCATCCACAACAAATGGAATTGACTTAGGAGTCAATGCCCCCAAAAATTGGATTTGGATTTAATATTCCAACTACCAACACTTATCTGCACATCTGTTTTTTTTTATTAAATACTTTCTTTTTTATTTTTTAACTGATTATTATCTGAAAAAATAAACCCACATTTTGTTTTCCTCTTCGTATACATTAATACTAAAACAGTTCTAAAATTTTTCAATATAATGTATACAATTTTTTTTTTTGCATATTTTGATGAAGTATTTTATACTTGAATAATATCTTACTATCCAAGTATCCTTAATTTAGAATTTTATTATCGAAAAAATATTTTACTATACCCATGGTTAAGTTTTATAAATAAATAAAATGAGTTTAGTTCGACCTCATTTTGCAAGAATTAGCTACAAAATGACTTCTTTTATCTTTTAAAAAATTCTGACATGTGGGCACGGCTATAAATTAATGAAATAGTTTTATTTTATGATAAAATGCATAAAAAAATATGGATAAAAAATTGTAAAAGGATGATCATTTAACAGTAAAAGTTGTAATTAAGTAAACATTTTATTAAAGCTTACAATTTTTAATGTAAAGAAAATGTTATTCTTTTTATCTTTTCAGATACATTTTCGATTTCTTTTTAGTATTTTTAATTTTTGAATATTATTTATTTATTTGTCCTCTTTTAACCATGTAAATGATAGCGTTTAAAAAAAATTAAATATATTGATTTGATTATAAATTATTTAAGAACTAAAAGTTTGTTACTAAATTTGTTGAAGAATAAACTTAATTATAAATACTATATATGAGCTGAACAATCAAAATTTTGCTATACAGTAATAAATATTTTTTTTTTCAATTAATTCTTTGCCATTCATTTTTTTTTCTCTTCTCTTTATTTTTTTTAGTATTGTTTGTGACATTTACTTTTCTTGATTATACAACTGAGTTTCACTTAACCAAAGGCCAATGACCCTCATGCCATTAATAGCTTCTATGAAAGATAAAGAAGCTTCAAGAATTTAGAGAAGGCAATTAATTATTTTTTCTTAGCATAATTATCCTTAATTATCTACTAAATTATTTATTAGAAGTGAAAAAGTAAAGTGAAATACACTACACTAATATATTATGAACGTAAAAATAACATATTTATAATATATTATAACAAATTACCATTAATTTTACCAAAATATTCCCATTGAAATTATTGACATGTGTCCTTTGTAAAAGGTTTTTCAATGGTTGTTTGTTTGGATGAAAATTTGACAGGAAAATTAATAAATAATTCCATACAAAAACCATTAATTACTTGTTTCTTCATTTGTTATGCTTTTAACAATATAAATAGTTATCAAATATTTTAGATAAGTTAAACTTAAAAAAATTATAATTTATTTTAAATTTAGAATGTCTAATCATATCAATATTATGACTTGATTCAAATGATAGATTGGTTATTCTTTTCATAAACAAAATTTGAGATAGTATTGTATCATATTCTTAAAGAGAATGTGTCTGCAAATTCAAATTAGAAGATAGTACTCTATCAAGCTATTATACTAACGGTGAAAAAACACAACATGATTAGTATAGTTTCTAGATCAAATTCATCCAACAACCATTTTCCGAAGCCTTTGAAGCTTTCCTACAATACAAAACAATTCCAAAAATCATTCCACATCCATATTCTATAACCACTGCTTTCCATCCAAATCCAAATTTCTCTTTTAAAGAAGATGGAAATTTTTGTTCAATGAATTTTGAAAGTTTAATAATATTATTCAACTATCGTTATTTTATACATTTTATAATCCAAAACATATTTTACTATACCCATTCTTATAAATCAATCTATACAAGCGAATATATCGCTACTTTTCTTGATTATACAACTCGGTTTGACTTTCCTAAACCAAAGGTCAATGACCCTCATGCCATTGATAGCTTCCGTGAAAGATGAAGAAGCTCCAAGAATTTGTAGAAGGCAATTAATTATTTCATGTTTTGGCAAGGTTACATTTAGAGTAGAGAGAATATATCATAATTTTTGTGTGCCTTCTCATTAAAAAAATAATTATGTTATTTATGCAGAAAGTGAATATATATGCTTTCTTAGATCACAATGAATTTTTAATGAGATCTTTAACAGATTAGCCTTTTGTGTTAGTGGTTTCATTTATAACAAAATTAAAAGAAGAATTAGCGAAGGAGAGCAGGGAAGGAACTTCAACTTTTAGAAACAAGTAGTGGGTTGAAATTAAAGGTAAGATAGATATAAGATTAAATGATACATTATAAGGAGGAGCAACAATTATTAATTTAACAAATAATGTAATATCAAGATTATGAGCGACAGTCGAAAACGATCTCCTTGTCATTACCTCCCGTTAGTAAAATTTGATGAACTAGTTGAAAATTTTAAACTATCAAGTTTTGATAATTCATATAATTCTTCAAATTAACTTGTTAAAGATGACTAGTACAATGCGATGATACGATTATGATTATTTTCAACATTAAACCATGATGACATATTTTGTAAAAAGGATTTGAATAAGTCTTTTTTACTTACAGCGTTAAAAACGCTAACGGTATAATTGTCACCCTAGCCAAAAGTGAATGAGCACATAATGTTATTATGTTATTACTTCATAATCTTATATTATTAAATGATTTATAACACTTATGTTATTATATTTTGTCCGGTATCCTTCATATGTATCATAGTCATATACATTACACATTGTAGATTTTTTAATCAAAAGGGAGACCACATTGTACTTTTTTTTTCAAAAGGGGGACTAAATTAAACATTCACCAACAAAATCATATTCTTCATTTTAACTCATTATAATAGATACTGATACATCATCCATTACATGAACCTACAAACATCAACCTAAACACCTGAACCTAAACATTTTTTCTTCACATTCACCTTAACATTACATGAACAAAACATACAACCACATTGCCCACACCTAACAACATCAACCTAAACAGAACCACAATATCAACATGTTTAGCGCAATAACAACACACACAACTCTAATGAACAATTTTATCCTTTTCTGTTATTCTTTCACTAAATTTTCCAGATCACATATCCTCCTCCTTTGCCTGACAATTGTACCATCTCATTTATTTTGTCACTTTTCACTACTTCAAATATTTCACCTTTTTCTCATCTTTTTACGGAGACCACCTCCGACCATTTTCACAAGCCATTTAGGCTTTCCAATGAACAATACAAAAATTCCTAGGCCAATTCCAAATATTATTCCACATCCATATCCTATAACAACTGCTTCCCATCCAAATTCAAATTTCTCTTCTCGCCAAAAGTTCAGAGAAGATGGATATTGTTGTTCAGTGTTGTTGTAGTTCTTTGACAATGGGAACCCACATAGTCCTGAGTTTCCAATGTAGGAGTTATTTTCAAAAAGTGTTGAATTGTTTTCCTTGAGGTATTTCTCCAACAAGATGATTATAGGAAAGATTCATGACTTCAAGAAAGTTCAAATTGGTTAATTTTGTGGGTATCCTACCGATGAACATATTTGAGGAGAGATCCAATGATTCCAAATTTGTCAAATCTCCAATGGATTTGGGAATAGGACCACTAAGTCTATTATGGGAAAAGTTGAGTCCTTTAAGACCATGAAGCTCTCCAATTACATATGGAATCTTCAAATTTGTTTTGGGATAAATCAATGGTTACAAATGTTTTTGGAATTCTTTTGAGTGGCATAATTATACCTTTTGTTGTTATGGTTAAAGATTCAGTGTAAAATAAATATACTCTCATGTATAGCTCGCCCACCTCATTTTGAATGACATTCTTCATGGCTTGAAAATTTTGTAAGTAAGTTTTTGGTATTCCACCATTGAAGTAGTTGGATGAAATATCAAAAATAAGTAAACTTGAAAATCCATGTTTCATCTTTAAACCTGGAAGGGGACCATATAATTTGTTGGCTCGCAAGACCAATACTGTTAAACTTTGTAGAGTTTGAAGCCAATGTGGAAATTTATCCTCAATTTGATTATTGCCAAGATTTAAGATCTCCAATTGTATGCAATTGGTTAAAGATTTTGGCAAAAGACCTTCCAATTGGTTGTCATTGAGATTCAAAATAGAGAGCTTACAATCCATTGGGAAGTAATTTGGTAAAGTGCTACTTAGTTTGTTCCTCTGAATATCCAAAGTAGTAAGGAATTTCATGTTTGCAAGACATGGTGGAATGACACCTATCAACTTATTGTGGGACAAAATGAGAGCAAGAAGTGAACTTACATTACAAATTGAGGAAGAGATGTCGCCAGTGAGTAGATTGAAACTAAGATCAAGGCATAAAAGGTACACCGGGAATTGGTTCATTGGAGTTGTCAACAAGTTTTGAGATAAACTCAAAAAACTTAATGAATATATTTCTTGTAACCACTCGGGCACTGTTACATTCAACTTGTTGTTGGATAGATCGAGACTTGCTAACATTGGGACTTTTCCTGATAGTTTTGGAAATTCAGTTAAACCCATCGAAGATAAATGTAAGTATTGTAAGCGAGGGAAACTGTAGTTGGAATCGGTGAAGAATGAACAATTATGAAAACCACTAAAGTTGTTTGATGATAGACATAATTGAGTCAGGTCTACAAGGGTGAAAATTGATTCTGGAATATTACCCTGTAGCTTGTT